CTACTCTGCTCTATTGTACTCTACTCTACTCTATTATACTCTATAATTATACTCCGCTCTATGACACTCTACTCTACGACACTCTATTCTACCCTTCTCTGCTCTACTCTACGACACTCTATTCTACTCTACTCTGCTCTACTCTACTCTACTCTATTATACTCTATTATACTCCACTCTACGACACTCTCCGACAATCTACAACAGTACAACACTCTACTCTACTCTACTCTACTCTACGACACTCTCCTCTACTCTACTCTGTGGCACTCTCCTCTACTCTATGGCACTCTCCTCTACTCTATGGAACTTTCTTTGCCGTTCCGGTAGTTTTGGTTGCGGGCGTGGCCCGCACCGTCCGCGCCAAGGAGGCTAAGCTATTCGTTAATTAAACTCAGACTCCGTAGCCAGTCTTAGGCTATTCTTTATTACCCTGTGATTCATTTTTTTTGTTTTTTAAGACTATCTCAGTTTATGCAAGTGGTCTGTGGCAGGTTGCCTACAACATTTCTTAATTCTGTGGGCAGGGCCCGCACCGCAGGCGCTTTGCTAGTATATATTACGACCAAGATCTGCACCGGAACACCCTTCACCTACCAGCCCCCTTTTAACTCTTCTCATTCGTACAGCTAAATTTCAGCCCTGTCCCTTGAGTACTATTGCAGCTCCCCACCAATAGATCGGAGCCACGCGAGGGCGGTATCACAGGGGGCTGCTCTTATCACCACCTGGGATATGGCCCCAGGTCGTTCTAAATAAATGAATAAATGAATAAACAAATAAATAAATAAGCGTTTACTCCCTATCCTACCATTGTCAAGGGCATGCACAGACAAGACAGACAACACAATTGGCATGCAGACTCAGGCTTGGACTTACAAGCAAGCACATGGACACATACAACTCCAGCAGACATTCAGACTCAGCAGACTCTGATTTGGAGATCTCAGCAATCCAAAAAAAAAAAAAAACAGCATTCAGTTTGTCACTTTGTCAGAAAAGCTCAGATTTCTCAGACTGCAACTCTGCTGTTCAGTGCAGTTCGTAAATCATCCAAATAGTTTTGTGAAATTAAATCTAAGTTTGAAATAATTCAATAAACAGCCAGGATCAGGAAGAAAGCAAAAGACAAGGCAAATCCAGCTGCTGAACTCATTACCATCTTCACCCGAATTATCCGAATAGAACGCCCGGTCATTATGGCTGCATCTGGACCGAAAGTTGTGCCAAATACAGCTATAATGACGGGGCAGTCTATTCCGGTGAAGACGGTAGTGAAGTTACATTTCTTACAATACACACTCAGTCTGTTCTATTGCTGTTTTCTGCGATTCCCCCAACGTAATACACCCTAGGCATGACTGCGTCAAACACAAAACGTAGCTTGATCCATAAATCGCAAGGGAGTGTTATGTTCAGGGGAAGAACTTAGATGGAGTATCAATGGACRTAAAACACATGTGACAGAACTCAGGATAGGCTGTCACATGTGTTTTACGTCACATGTGACAAGAGCCCTCACGCTGTGAGTTCTTAGTCACCAAGGATCAAACACCAACCTGCCATTGACCACTGCCCATAGAACTGATTCAACTGAATTCTGGTGAACAACCTTCCGAGACAGAGGCAGAAGAGCCGGGGGAAACAAAAAATCATCAAAAATTACTCCCTTTGAAATCCTAAGCTTATCAAAATCACGAATTTGGATGCCGGTCACCTTAGCTCCTATGAATTGAGTGTGACCTCACACAGAACACACAAAGAAGCCTCGGAGTAACCCGGGAGAAGAGTTCAGAATGATAGGAGACAGAGAGGTGGAAGATGAAAAGAAAGTGAGAGGAGGACACAATTTTAAATCCAAGCAGAGTAGCTAGTTGTGCACAGCCTCTCTCTCTCTCTCTCTCTCTCTCTCTCTCTCTCTCTCTCTCTCTCTC